CCTTCATATTTCTCGGTCAGAGACACGGTTTGCAACTTCGCCATCAGTCGGAGCGGCTTGAAGACGGATTCAATGAATCCACTCCCGGCGTTTGCACGGTTGTTCTCTTCCTAATTCGATCACTAACCGATCATCATTGGTAGGAGCAAAGTAGCCGAGGACGGACTCCTTCCACCCGTTCTGTCGTCACCTCGCCTGATTGTGATAGTACAAACTGAGATCCGCTTAATAAAACTCGTGAGAGGTTTATGCAAACCACCTGAATGATGTCTTAGACTTGTCATTGATTTTTTCGCGACTTTTAATCATTCCTGTTGTAGCGGGGCTCTCTATCACCCGACCTGTCTATCCAGACCAAGCGATGGTACCGCTACCATTTTGCGACCTGGAACTCCGGATTCATCGGGATATGAAGATGCCAGGCTTGAAACGAGCGTTTGGAGTGAATAGGTAATCAGCAGTGGCGTTCAATGAACAACGACTTTCTCCTATCCCTACAGTCCTTCATAAGCGGACAGGGTCCGGCTTGTTGGACTAAGATACGGAGCGTGCAACTATGCCCAAAGTCACCATTCGTTCAATCTAGCGGGCATGCCGCTTCTGATTGACGCTTCCAGGAGTGTTTGTCAGAAAACTCATACGGCAAGTCAAGACCCTGTACGCAAAACTGTTTTTCAGTATTTCCAGCATATGGAGACCTTTCTTCTTGATTGGAGGGAATTTCATTTAAGTGATTGGATAGTAACTTCCGCTTCAACGAGAGGCTGCACGTACTTTTTGTTTGTGCAGTCACACATTTTCATTCTGTATGGGTGGCTATATGGGAATAGGTGAGGTTCCCGTAGGAACTCATCGGTGAGCACGGTCAAGGCCACGGATCTAACCAGAAAGGAAAAGTGTAGCACTATAAATCACACAACAATAAGTAGAGTCCTTCTTGCTGGAGACGCTACAACGTGCCAGGCGGGCAGGTTTGGTGCGACGCCAGCCCGTTCCCCACCAATGGTTACACTCTACTTCGCTGCGGACGGTTGGGCGTGTCAGCCAGTATGAGTGTGTCACCCTCTTTGAGCTGTTCTCTGCCTTCTTGTTGAAACGGGCATGCGACAAAAAGCAGTAGAAAACAAGTAATACGAAAGGTATGATACAGTATTGTCATTTGCTCGCTTGAACAACTCGTGGAGAACGAGTTTGGCACCGCGCCAAACGCAGCCGCACGAACACGCCCAACCGTCCGCAATGAACTACACTATATTGCTTGATTTATGCGACTATTGATGAAAGTGCTGGGTACTGCGGCAACGTACCAGTCCCACCTCTTGAGACGCCCCACTGCCTGCAAGTAAACGATTGCAACAGTTGCCCAGGAAGTTTCATGTCTACGTCGCTTACATTAGATCACACAAATTAATCCATTAGTTTCACGTGGGGCTGCTAAATTGTCAGCCATGAGTACTGACGAAATTGGCTAGGATGCGTGGGCGCCACCTCCAGGTCATTTTCAATCTTCGAAGTGCTGCCAGGATCTGCTGAAATACCAGTGGAATGGAAAATAAGTGCAGTTTGGTTCATGTGATAAAGTCTCCTTCATCACGCTTTCCAGGAACACTCTGAGCTAATTTCAGTATCCCTTTCGACAAATACCACCTTCAGCAAAGACCATTGGAGCGTCGGCTTCGCGAGTGGCTGTGGCCAGAACCCCGATTTTCTGAGTACGTCGTCTTAAACACTCCAAATTCTCCCTGCTCTCGTTGGCTCCCCCCGGAAGATGCACACTGTACATGGTCCATGCCGTTGTTCAGAATGCGTTGTCCCCGTGTTTTTCCTGGCCATGCACCCGATCTTCTCAGCATTTCTGGTCCTGCCCTTGGCTTTAAACCCACCTGAGATTTTGCACACATGAACTGCTCAATGAACAAAACTTTTCTGTGGCAGAACGTGTGAGAACCCTGTGTCGGCAGGTGGGAGTCCTCGTTGGTCCATCTGCTTTGTCTCTATACTGCCACCGTCAACAACTGGATTCTTTTTGCGTGCACGACCATGGAAACCTAATATTTTTCACACAGGTTAAACTCAGTAGTAACCAGGCCATGAATGACGAGGGCTTTTCTTACGAGAAGAGCATGTCATGTGAAAGGTTGTTGAGTCTTGCACTTCTCACATTTTCCTCAACAGCCCAACGGGGGCAGTGAGTTTATAGAGGATAAGGCAGCTTTCATTCTTCGCGACAGCAGCTTCCGCTATCATCCGAATCCCTGATTTCTGTAATCACTGGGGAATCGCATTATCTGACTTCTCGCACAAGATAAATGGATTGAACTGGCCTCTCTACAGTTCCTTCCTACCCTTGAAAAAGCTCATCCTCCCTCAAGTTCAAAATATGTCCTTTGACACCCTTCAGATGCTCTGGCAGCTGCTATCCTTTATCTGTCCGCACCTCCTGCCGTTGAGGAAGTTTTTGCGAAATACGACCTGCGATCTCTCTCTCTCTCTCTCTCTCTTTTCTCTCTCTCTCTCTCTCTCTCTCTCTCCTCATCCTACCTACCATGTCCTCTGAATTTTCCTCTTGCCAGTTTTTTATTCCCAACAATTCCTTCACTTTTTTATCTATAAACCAAAGGAATTTCTGTAATTGGAGGAGGGAGTGCGGAGGGGAGCCCATATTGGACGAAAAAACCAAGGAAGTTCAACAGCCGAATTCATTCCTTTTAAAGACAGCCCCCGCGATCAAAGTGGCTCGTGGTCGCCTTTGCTGTGCAAGTAGTCTAGCCTCCAAGCTAGAAGACTGTTCACCTTTCGCGACTCTATTGTGAGCGTGGAGGCTGCTATAGCCGCTCAAAGTGCTAGTTCTAACTCCTCCTCAGTCGGACCGCCTTTACTTGCTAGATGTCCTCCGACGGAGGCCACTCACTTGTTCTTAGTTGGGGCGGCGGGCAT